CGTGTGTGTGTGTGTGTGTGTGTGTGTGTGTGTGTGTGTGTGTGTGTGTGTGTGTGTGTGTGTGTGTGTGTGTGTGTGTGTGTGTGTGTGTATATATATATATATATATATATATATATATAAAATTTCGATCTTGCGTATATATAAATATATATATTTTTTATAAAAGGTCAATAAATAATATGTGTTATAAATAATATGAGAACATAATTACACGAGAAAAATAAAATAGATATCCTCAACGTTGTATATAATTTTACATTGCGTATATATGGATATAAGTCAAATTTTAATAGTTTATCGCACTTTCTGATCTAGCTGCGCATTTTAATATATAATGGTTTCAGAAACATTATGAAATAACACATACGCATATATTTTGAAAAGATTAGAGGATGCATTTTGATATTAACATAAACATCTTATTCTCAATAATTTGTATTATATGGGAACGTGAATATGTTAATTCAAACATAACAGAATAATTGTGCAATGTTTATTATAATAACATTTACATTATGTCACATGCAATATTTTATACAATTAATATTTTTAATCATTAAAATTTATTTTTAAGATATATAATGATGATAGATCAAAATTTTATTTATATTTTCTTTCGGATTTATTTAAACATATTATTTATGATGCAACAATTCAGTTATTAAGTTGTTTAATATACTTTAATAAATTCTAATTAAAAATTTTTTACTCAGATTCAATCAAGATTGAAAAACTTAAAAAAAGCAATTATAAGAGATACATCACTATGAGTTGATATATCATGAGATGTAATTAACAAAACCTAATTATTCTCAATTCGATAATTTTAGTTATAATAATAAAATATATATATATAAAATCCTAACAGTCCTATATAGTTTGACAATCCAAATTATCACTTGAAGCGATAAATGCAATATATGATTGCAATTTTGAACACGGTTGCAATTTTAATGGTATGTGTTACTATGTACTTATTATAAGATTGAAATTATGATAAATGCATCCTCATCATCTGAAAACAAATTATTCTCTCTGTAAATCATATGATATTGCATGTGAAGTAGTACGAAGTAACAATAAGCACAAGATGAATTTACGTCATCAAGTAGCAAGCTAATATTGTTTCACATAACATTTAACTGTGTCAATGAATAAGAAATAAATCTTATCTTAACAAAACATAATATTCTCTTATCGTATCTATATCATATTATTTTTCTTTTTATCTATATAAATCTTGTATGCTAGAACATATCGGAAAGTAGATAAATAGAAATAAATTCACAAGTTATACTTAAAATCTGTTACATATATTATTTATTACATTATGGCTTGCAAACAAAGATGAACAGATCAAGATCTGTGTAAATTGTGTAAAACGCAAAACTTTTTTTGTGTGTTAATACAATACATCATATAATTATATAAATATTTATGTTATTGTACTTATTTGTACTTATTTGAATAATAACGTTACCACTTTTTCGATTATAAACGCGATTAATATAATGCACCATCGATAACAGACATAATACACAATATACAATATCCTTTTATCACTTGTCTTTGTGTCAACATAGCAAATAGCGAAAAATTTCATTGAGAGTAAGAATCAACTGACTAAAAATACATGACTCATTTTTTATATGCATTACAAGTTTAAGTTTTTATATTTTAATTTTACATGTTTTAATTTTCTATAGAAAATTTCTACATTATACAATATGATATTGTGTAGAGATTGTTTTTCAGGAGTATAATATATGTATATCTTTGTACACCAGTAGAATTGATACATTGAAGATATAACGGTATCTTATTAATAACAGTTAAAGAATTTCTAAAATATTTTTAAAGAAAATTTATTGTAAGATACATAAAATAATATATAGTATATATTATCATTCATTAAGAGATGTATTGGATATCGAGTATCGAACTAGCAAAACGAAATTATAAATAATGAAACATTATCTAACTGAAATAAACATATAATATCTCGAAAATAACAAACATAAAATTTAAATTTTGCAAAACGAATTCAGTTAAACTTAATGTTTCCAATGTTTTTTAATTTGCTCTCAACATATTTATTGTTCTTGTTTCTAGTCAAGATCAAGAATGTTTTAAATTGCACACTTGTTTTCTTCTCATCAAAGTTTTATGTAAATGCATCAAATCAATAATCTAATCCAATACTATCCCTTTTAATACGACATATCTCAGAATGTACTTTCATATTACTTTGCTTTACTATTTCACATTCAGTTTTTTTATTGCGTGTATAAAGAGAATGTTATATTTTTGTATGTTAAAAATTGAGTATATTTTTAATAATTAAGAAATAAAAGAAATTTGTATTCAAAAGTAAATCTTTCCAGAAGTTTACAATTAATTAGAATACATACTATTCTACAAAATTCTTGAATATTAAAATTACACAAATAGATATCTCAGATATCTTATACATCTCTACAATAAATATATACGCATATGTGTATGCATTTTTTTTCAATTATTTCGACAATATTGCGCTTTCCCAGAATTTACATTTAAAATATTATCTCGAAAATTAATTTGTTTATTAATTATAGATCAGCAAGAAAAAACTCAATGTAATCTCATAAATTTCCGCATCAAATTGAAAAAATGCTGTCTATATAACATTATATAAAATAATATAATAACATTACATAAAAAATATATTTTTATCTCATTGAAACTTTCTTCACATTTTTGACTTTGATTTTGTTTCCTTGGAAACGATGAATATTGGCATCGAACAGTTTTTTTTAGAAAGAATACTTATCACTGAAACGAGTAATAGAAATCATGTAACATAAAAATATCGCATTATATAGAAAATGTAATCGCACATTATTTCACTTTGTCATTTTCTTTACACATTTCACTCACTAACTACTAGTTGAAATGAAATGAAAAATTATACAGATATCATCCAATCTTCGCGAATGGCGCATTGAGCGAAAGGATATACTATTTTCCATTGCACATGTCAACAAGGAGGTGGACTAGATGTTGGGACTGTATCTACAGTTGTTGCAGAAGAGGATGCCACTGCGGTCGCTTTATTGTCAGTATTTAATCTCCTCCTGGTGAACATGATTTGTTCCATTAACTCGTGATGAGCCTCTAGTCGTTCAATGCAATGTAAACACGCAGTCTTTGGCAATGGATCATTCATGTTTACCTGCAAAGATGTATGTAAAACCGTTTTATCATGATTCCTCAAGTACTGAGTTAAAAAAATAATGATGAAAAAATTTGAAAATATAAAAAAACATATCGATGCATTCTTACAAGAAATAACAGTTCCTAAATTCATTAAAGAGTAAGATACATTATAATAAGTACAATAAATTTTAAAGAAATCATAGGATATTTATATGCAAGAGAGATGCGAGAAGTTGCTCTATTTTTTTATTTATTTCTTTTTGTAAACATTTGTATCTCGCTTCCAGATAAAGATCTATGCCAAATACAAGGAATGAAGATTAAGTTTTGTGCACTGAGTAAAATGCCTTGACAATCTCTTGAAGGATCGAATAATACGTGCGGCACGTAGAATTACCGTGATCGGCAGATAAGTGTTTATCTTCTCAGCGAGTTTCATCCTTTCACCTTCTTCTCCATAGATGTGGATCACGAAGCGATTCATCTTACTGCAGAGCCTACATATAAATCCCGTAATCACGGCCTTGTCCGTACTGCCCATCTCCGCGGTGTTGCTCGACAGTTGCTCTCACAACTCACAGCTCACTGATAGCTCACTTACAGCTCGCGGCGCTCGCCTCAATAACTAACGGTGACAGTGCGACGCGCGAACTCCTTAACAAACCTCCGCGATCGTAGTTGCAGCAGGTGAAAGAGAGTCTCGGATGTATATATCGGTCTTTTTTTTTTTTTCTTTACCTGGAGATCTTTCAGAGTTTGTTTATTGCAGACTCCGCCGAACGCCAGCGCTGACCAGCGTTCGGAGCGAACGATGCCTTCTTCAGTGCCGTACGCATTGTTCATTTAAGTACTCTGGACCCCCGGGTCGCAGAATTCTCTAATTGCCACAGGCTGAATGTATATCATATCTATCATTACCAAGACTGGACAAGTTAATTTTCTTTTTTAATTAAGTTGAGTTAAAAATAATAGCTTACAAAATTAATTTAGTTAAAAGTTGCATGAATAAAAAAACTAATTTTGTTAAAAATATATTAAAATTAAATTAACCTAAGTTAAATTAAAAGTTAATTTTAATATGCATTATTTGTATTAAACTAAAATATTGTAATTGTTTAACATTTGATTATCTTAAATAATACTTATGTAGAAAAACTACAAATCGAAAAATTTAATTTTATAAAATTAGAAAATTAAAGTTAACATATGTTTTAAAAAATAATTAAAGTTAAAAGTTAATTTATTAGAATTATATAATATTATATCAAAGATTAGACAAGTTAGAACAATAATTTAATCATTAATTATAAATTAAGTTCATTAATATATAAAATTAAAAAATTAATATCTTTTAACTCAAACTTGATTAATTTCAAATACATTAACTGTAATGTTTAATTTTAATGTTTTTTCAAATAAAAATTTTTTCATTTCGTAATTGTCTTATTATTTAAAATAATATTAAAAATAATTTTAAAAATTACTAAGTTTTATAATTTAAAATATAATAATGCTTTTTAAAATTAATTCTTAAGTTAAATTTACATTTATAATTTTGACATAACTTTTATCTATATTATCTTTTTGTTTATATAAAAAATATATGAACTTATCCAATAATAACTATATCATTATGAGATTGTCATTGTTTTATAATCTTTCAGTGTTCTCACATTCAAAAAAAGTTTGAATGTGTCGATGAGAGAAAAAAAGAGAAAAAAAGAAGAAGGCAACGGTAGAGAATTCTGTCTTATGATTTCGCTACTGCACCACTACCTTCTACCCTAATTTAATCAATGATTGATTCAACAAGAATTGCTTATGACAAAATTTCCAATTATTTAATTTGTCATTTTTAAGAAAATTTTTCCTTTCGTAAGTCAAACAAAAAAAAATTAATAACGTGGATTAACGGTATTAATTCTTTAAAAATTAATTCATCTACCCACATTAGTAAAATCAAATCAGAGATATGACTTGACAAGTTATACCTATTTCTTCTAATGTATCTTAAATCACAAAATATCTCAGTTAAAATCACGCCGTGAGACGTGAAAATAGATTAAATCCTGAGCAACCAAAATGGTCGCAATGAACTTTCCCCCCAAGCCTCAGACTATCTTCTAGTCTGTGAAAGCACCTTACATTTCGTTCAGATATTTGTACATCTATGCTTTGTCCAGATATTCATACATTCATGGAAAATCTCTCTTTATAATGACAAAACATGGCTATTATGTAAAGGCAAAATTTATAAGAAATGTAATTATTTGACATAAAAAATAATTATTTGAAAGAAATAATTATTTGATTAAATTAATGTTCAATTAGAAAGATATAAAAGAAATAGAATTTAATTACATATTATATAATTTGAAAAAATATGTATATAATGAATTTATATTTAAGATAATAATTGAAAAAGATTTTCATAATCAAATTGATGATCTTAATTTGTTGACTAGCCTTATATGATATCTGTTACTAATCCATCTTTTATGTAATTTCTATTTTTTTCTCGAGTGATATACAACACTAAGTAGATTTGATAAATCTATAATATTTAGATTGTAAAACCAAATTTAAGATATGAAAATTAAAAATGAGATTCTTATTATCATATATAAGTCCTTTTTATGTTGTTATTAATAAAAAAAAATTTTTTATTTTTCATATTTTTAGATTTCGTATTTTTTGTGTATATATTTTTTATTTTAATAAAAATTCACATGCCTACACACATAAATAAATATATTAAATAAGTTTTTATTAATAATTAATTATGCAATAAGTTTTTATTAATAATTAATTATGCAATTTATATTCATATAATAGCATAAAAAATTTTGTTAATAAATTATATATTTAATAATTATTAAATTAATAATTTGAAATTAATTAAAATTGTTTTGTAGTAAGAACTTGTTATGGAAAAAAAGGAGGTTAACCAATATTAATAATTTACTGATTTATCGATTTATGAAAAGAAAAAGATAATTCTTGGCTGTTACATTTTAAATTCAAATCTATTATTAATAATAACTGACGACATAACTGATAAAAGCAATGATATATTCTTGAATTTACAGAAATAGAAAGATTACTAGGCGTCAAAAATCTTGCCTTGCCAAGTGCAAAATGCTGATGCTCCAATTAAAATTAATATCTAAAACATTTAATATGTTCTTTTTATCTATTTCATAAATTAAATATTTTATTTCTATATAATTCTTAAAAATTTGAGGAATACAATCATGACAATAATCGCAGAAATTAGATATGAGGTGCTACATACATACATAACAGACATGGCCTACGTTCATGTCAATCATTGTATGTTAACTTACGTTCCCGATTTACATACACGAGAATGGAGTAGATCGCGCGCGCGCGCGCGCGCGCGACCACTTCCGGGAAAGTGTAAATGGATTTTTAAATCGCGACGCGCATCGCGCGCGCCGCGAATCAACATGGTGGCGATCAGCTGTCTTCTGTCACAATGACGCTCGCGACGACAAACGATCAAATTAATTAGCGGCCGATCGGTACGGTGTGATCTTAATCGTCGGCTCGATCGCGACCGATCGTGGTTCGAGGATTGGCGTCACGCGACACGGCGACGTGGACACGTGTCAGTTCCGTCCGTTTCCGAAAAGCTGACGCGCCGCAAGGCGAGCGAGCGAGCGAGCGAGCGAGCGAACGAACGAGCGAGCGAGCGACGCGCCTCGCTCCGCTTGAAGTGAGCGGCGGGTGGTACGCACAAAAGCAATATGGTGACCGTCGGGGGATAGCCCGAGACATCGAGTGCGCACACGGGGGATGTTTAATAATATTTATCATCGTCGACAACGTGCGTTGGTGAACGCGAGTGATGAACTTGACATGACCGAGAGCCTCTCGATAGGCTAAAACAATTCGGACACCATGTGCGATGTGTGCGTCGATTTTCACGATCTTCTGCTATCCTGTAAGTCGATACTACACACAGTAGCGTTCCCTTACGTGTGATCCTTAACCTATCCTCGCGAATTCGTTTGCGATCGAGGCCTCCGCGAGCGATCGCCAACGAATTCCTCCGGGGAAATCTCCTCGAGGCGAAGCCCTGCCGTGCGGCGCGATGGACACGCTCGTGTTCGCGATCTTTTTTCCGCACGAGAGATGAGAGCGAAGTAGCATTTTATAACCTTAATCGTCGGCCTTTTGTTCTACTGCAACGCGGTACATCGGACATCCAGACTTCGCCGCTTTGTTCTACTAGCATTATCACGTTTCTCACTATTTTTCTGAAAATAACCGATTTCCTGTTACGATTATCAATAAATATAGGTTATAACGACTTGATTCCGTTTTCGAATTGCGATGCGAGTTTTCGAATTAGAAGGTACTTTCTCTCTTAGAATCGTTGTTTAGGCAACGTTTTCCAGCTAATGCTTGTTCGAAAATTTTGAGTTAGTTATGTTGACATTTGTTTACTGGAGATTTACAATTAGTCTCGATATTTTATTTTATGCAATATTTATTGATGTAAACACACACATTCGTGACTTTTTTTTAATTTATTGTCAATAAATGAGAATTACAACTTGATTTCATTTCCTAATACGATACGAATTTCGAAATTAGGTTTTTTTTTATTAGTTACATTGTTTAAATAATGTTTTTTAATAACGTCTGTATTGTTAATAATATTGAAAATTGTACTGGAAATTTACAAAAAAATTTAAAAAGCTTCTCGATATTTCATTTTCTGCAATATTTTATGATGTAAAATACATTCGCGTGACTTTTTTTAAAAATTTACTATCAAAATAAATATAAATTATAATAATTTGATTCCGTTTTCGAATTATGATTTACATTTTTTTTTTATTTAGTTACACTGTTCGAACAACATTTTTCAATAGGTTGTATCATTTGAAAATTTTGAGTTAATAAGTTTAAAATTGAATTTTACTGGAAATTTATAAAAAAATCCTCGATATTTTATTTTATGGGGAATATTTATTGGTGCGAAATACATTCATGTGATTTAAAATTTATTTTATAAATATATCGCAAAATAAAAGATTGCAGAAGAAGTCACAAGCGTTTTACAAAAATATTATCTTAAATTTATTTAAGTTTCTAGACTCTAAAGTATTATTTTTCTAGATGACGAACGTTCGTCTAAGGAACAGGATGCATTGGCAACATTGTATATAACAGATGTCGATACAACATTGCATTATGTTAATCAATGGGTGCAAAGGTATATTAATTAATCTGATTAGAATTGATGACTGATTTGATTTGAATTTAGTTATCTTCTTTTATTTTCTTTATCAGTTAATCTTTCCAAAATGCCTGAATTAAAAATTATAATGAAATATTGTTTAACTCTGATCACATTTTTTCTTATGTTCTTGGAGAAATGAGATTAATGACATATGACTATATGTAATATATTATATCATGTAAATTAACATATTTGTTTAAAGTAAATTATTATAAATAAGCTAAGAAACTATAAATTTGTTTGTTTGTAATTAGAATAATCACAGAATTATAATGTCTTGCTAATATCTGTAAAAAATATTTAATAGCTTTTTATAATAAAAAAAATTGAATTTTATAGTAATTTTATATACACATTATTATACATGCATTGTTATTATATGTTAAATATACATGAATAATTTTATTGTTATTTTCTTTTTTTTTCTAGACAATGTATGTGCTGTTATCGTGAAATTAAAAATTTTGATCGATTTATAAGGCTAACTCAAAGTGTCGTGCTCTGTACGTTACAACAGTTGCAAGTTATACAGCAAAATGAGCAACAGGGAGATGTCGCTAAAGAGATGCCTAAGGATGAAAAGGATGAGGAAGAGAAAAATAATAAACGAAAATCCAGTGACAACGCGGAGCATGGACAAGTGGAAATTAAGACGAAACAGATTTGGTCTCAGCAAGATAGAGAAAGATTGTTTCATCTTCTTTCAAAAATATTTTTACTTAATTTCCCACTCTATATCGCTATGAAGCACGGCGGTGTAATCAATCCCTTAGCTCCCGTCAAGGTAAAATTCTTATACTATTTATTACTGCAGATCCCAGATCAATCGATTACATCAATTTTTTCATAACTTTTTTTTATAATAGGATGAAGGTGGTTATTGTGAGCCACACGATCCTGAGGTACCGGCGCCTTTAATTCGTGCAGTATCTATATTTTGCCATCAAGGAGGCTTTAATTTGATGTCCGCTTGTTTCGATATGGAAAGCACACTGCCCGTTAGCCTTGCGCATTCTATGGTTGCGGTTATTTGTAATCTAAAACTTTGGTTAAACTATGCCAGTGTCATTCAACTATTTATACCATTACGCAGTCGTGTTATGAAGTATATGTGCCGTTTAGGAGACAAGGAATTGCGTACTCCGGCTGTTAGGACTATGGCAGGTATGTTTCTGAATCTAAAAATATGTATATTTTATATTCTATTTGTGAGTATATAAACTGATTTTTTTACATTTAAATATACATGAGGTTTTTGTGCATATTTAGATTTTATGTGGAGCGCAGTGAAAGATCCAATAGACGCTGTATTACCAAGTTTTGATCGTGATGGACTTGACTTGGCATTTAAATACTTTACTAGTACAACTCTGACTATGAGGCTGGCTGGTGTGGCTCAGATAAACGCTCATATTACCGCATCTAATGAGCTATGCAATAGTGAGACTGTCGCGGAGGTCGAACAAGTGGGACACGCTCTTGCTGCTTGGTTGACTGAGAATAACATCATAGCTCATATATTCGGACCAAACTTACACGTAGAGGTTATTAAGCAAAGTCACATTATATTAAGTTTCTTGGCTATGGAAGGTAGAATCACATCCTCAGACATGGATACTATGTGGCAAGCGGCACAGTTGAAGCATTGTGGCCGTCCGGTTTATGACCTATTGGCACCCTTGGTCAAACATCTGGCTCCTACTCCCGTACTTCACTTATATTCTTTACTAGGCAAACTAGAACCTAAGGACCACACAGAGCAAAGCTTGTTTTTAGCATCGGCTTTGATCAAGTTTATTTGGACGTCCGGGCGCTCGGCTTATCCGAGAGGTTTGGTAATGAAAAATAGAGAAATTCTAAGAAGTACTGGAAGTGGGGTTGGTGGAAGTAGTAGCAGTGATCCAAGTGGAATGGATGGTAGCAGCCCAGAAGATGATGAAGAGGAACCTAGTCCAACATTATCCGATGGACCATCACCTAGAAAACAGCCAAGAAGCTACAGTAGCGATGGCGAAGGTATGTATTGTCAAATTCTTCTTTCGATTTCGCCTCTATTGACATGTTGTTTGTGCATGCTTGTTATAGGACATTACAAAGGAAAGACAACTACAACCATCGAATCAAGTCTCAATGATATCGAAGGCCTGAATTCTGATAAATTTGAATGTAACAGAGAATTGACTAAGGATTCTCCGACAAATGCCATTCGAGATGAGATAAAGAGCAAGCAGAGTGGATCTGATGCCGAAGCAGACACAGAGAAATCTAATACAGAGGAAATGTTTGTACATGAGAAGAAGAAACGAAAAATTCTACGCAAGCGAAAAAGACCACAAAAACGTTCTTTAAGTGCTGTTGAGAAAACTTTGGAAGATATTGTGGGTCAAGATGTTAATATAAAATCAAAAGATTTGCTCGAAAATGGGAAAAACAGAACGGAAGATATGTTGAATAGTAGTCTAGATGCTTTAACTTCCTTGGATGAGTCAAAAAGTGTGGACGCATTGGATCGCGTTAAGCAACAAGCGATGGCTTTAGATCCAAATGAACAAGTTTCAACCACAACGGCATTACTGAGACGCAATAAAAACAAATACATGTCTATAGTAGGATATAATGTGGATCGAGCAGCCGATTCGGCAGACAGTTCCCACGATGAGGACGACAGCGATGTAGCAGGTGTGCTCGCTGCTGCAGATGGTCCTGGTGCTGTGATATCCGAACTGGCTGGCTTAGTGCACGCATCGGGTCCTACGTTCTTACCCTCGGGATTGGATGAAATGCTTTCCGATGAAGAAGGCTCGTATAGTAGCAGAATATCGAATAAAAGTGAGAAAAATATGGCCGATTTCGATGGCGAGGAGAGCGGTTGTGAAGAAGAACTGGCTCAATTAGCTGCGCGTCATCTAACTGCTATACAAATGCAAGCTTATCATCCGCATCATTCGCACTCAACTATGACAATTAGAAGATCTGTCTGCCAACAGTCTCAAGTGCGAACCGCCCGACAAGCGGCTACGAGATTGAGTTCACAGTTTAACTTGGACACAGTTTGTAAACCGGGTAACACGTTACTGTGGGATCTTCTTCAGGATGATAAGATAGGTCAATTGGGAGAGGGCCTGGCTTTAGAGGCAGAAAAGGCATTATGCAATCTTCTATGTTTTAACATTGATCGTTTAATTCCAATGAAGTTCATAGAAGGCTGCTTAGAAAATTTGGCAACTAATCGTTCCGTAGTCGTATCTTTAAGACTATTACCAAAATTGCTTGCGAGCTTCCAGCAATTTGGTGCAATGGACGCGCACACGATCACAACCTGGGCCGATCGTGAACGCGGCATGATGAAGCATTTTTTTAACAATCTCAAAACTTACACCAGTATAGGACCAAAAAGTAATTTATATTCTCATCAAACGGAAATACAAGTTAGATTACAGTTTTTGTCATCAATTTTCTCACCATTAGGTTCACCTGACTGTTTTCGTTTGAGTCTAGAACAGGTGGACATATTGTGGCAATGTCTGTCACAAGATCCGGTCTGCGCGGATGAGCTCTTTAGCTGGTTACTCAGCCAAGCAAAATCTACAGAGCAGCATGCTTTAGGGATGGATACGCTCAAACACCTTTGCATGCGCAAATTACCGAGTTTACCACCAGAAACTATCAGCATGACTGGCCTTAGTCTATTCCAACAATTGTGCAATCTGGCGCGTCTGGCAGCAGCGCATTTGGATAGACCGCTTAGGGATGTAGATTCAGTAGGAATGGACTTCCTGTGGCGAATAGCTTTAAAAGCGAAAAGCACAGACGTCAGTATGGCAGCTATACAATATCTCAACGGCTATTACATGTCACGACAACTGACACAGGAGGCAGAATTTGTTTCGCAATGCATGACGCATCTTGCAGCAGCCAGTGCCGATCTTGAAACTAACGAGGAAGCTAGTTTACGCTGCATTCAGCGTGCCTTACTCCTCTTAAGAACACATTTGGAAGCTTTTCGGAAACGCTATGCCTATCATTTGCGTCGCTGGGTGCTTGAAGGCAGAGGTGCCGCGAGCCACGTAGCCATGAACACATCTGAGAAAGGCCAGCAATTAAGAATTTTTGTGCAGCCGGCTGGTATACCGGAGAAGATGACTTTTACTCTTTTGAACACCGATTATGTAGCTGATTTACGAGCTGAAGTTGCTAAATGGTGGGATGACACACAAAATGTTCAAGAGAAATCTACGGCTTCTGCGAATGCCAGTCAAAACAGTGGATCGGTTTTAGGATCGTTGCTTACTGACGGTCCTATCAGAATGATTACCCAAGGTCAGGAATTAACTATCGATTTCGATGAAAAGACTTTACAGGAAATGGGCTTTAAAGACGGGCAATTGGTATTTATTTCGCTCGGTGCCAGCAGAGGTAACGGCGGTCGTTGCAGCAAAAGAGATATGGATTCGCCCTCATTATTACCGCCTCCGCCTAGAGAATCCTTGCCAACTTTGCTGTTACTTCGGCCACAATACTTTGAGCAATTATTTACACTTATGAGGACGCTTAGCGCTATGAAAACGACAGTAAAGGGAGGGCAAGAGATTCCTCATACAAAAGCACAAGTACTTTCGAGAAGAGTTTGGGACACGCTCACTTTGTTACCTACAAGTCCAACTTTGCTACGAGGCTTTCAGAAACTCGGCGAGACTTCTCTCCAAGAATTGCTTGATCCGGCGAGTCCACAGAAGTTGATGTATTCGCTTTATATAGTTGAATCCTTGAGTCGACGAGGCACGACAAGTCAGCCATCACCGAGTAATTCCACTCTATCGACCACAACATCGACGCATGAAGGTGGTGGAGATGCGGATGACAACCACGACGATAAAGAAAAAGATGTGGCTTGGTCCACCCTATTTGTACAATATGGTGGACTCCGACATCTTTTTGACATTTTTATGTCTGGTTGTTTGGAGCAAGGAGATGGTAGTGAGTGGCAACAGGATTGTCTCGCTAGTTTACTAAAACAACTCTGTTATCTCGGAGTTGTGAAAGAAGAGAAGAAACGTAATAAAGCGGACAAACCATTGCTAGTGCCAAGACTTAGCGAAGCGATGTTAAGAATGATGAACGTCGACACAGTAATGCCAAGGATAACAAGTATTTTAAACGATGCTTCATTACCGCTTGATCCGAATCATTATAAAACAGGGCTCTTTGGTCGATCCCAAGTGATACACTATGCCATGGCACTGCTAGTTTGTTGGGTACATAGCGATCCGACAGTCAGGCAATATTTGTTCTCGTCATCCGAGCCGTTTGGAAAAACATGGTTGCGTAGATTGATCTTGGAAGATCCTGAGCCAGCAGTAAGACGTGAGGTATGTACAGCTCTGTACAGATTATGCTTGGGCATCACCGGTACGGAGGACGATAACTCGGATCAGATGCCAGGATTGATAGTACCAATGTTAAACACTCTGCTGGAGCATCTCGTTATCGCTGAAGCTATGCAACCTTCTCATCGTAAGCCGGATTTGCCATTACATCTACATACTGTTTTGGATGATGGAAAAGAACCTTATGGACCTGCCTGTAAAGATTATTTTTGGTTGGTGTGTCGTCTAGTAGATTCTCTTCCAGATGAGGCAATCCGAGAGAGCTCAGCAGACGATACCGCTTGCACAACGATCGATCTTGAAGCATTGGCTATTCGGATGATTGATTCTGTGCTGAACAGAGAGCATCTAGAAACGCGACATAACACGGTAGAAGATGACGCTCTGATCGGATTGATAAATCTCACCTGTAACATAATAACGCACAACCCACCCTGCAAACAGGATAAAATCGGTCAAAACTTATTGAATCAGGTGTTTGATTTCCTGTTCGCCTTACCTAATCCACGAAGTAAGCACGTACCCAAGTGTAAAAGCCAAGCGTCCAGATCGGCTGCTTTTGATCTTTTAGTCGAATTGGTGAAATCTGCACCCGAAAATTACAAGATATTACATGAAAAGCTGCTCGCCCAGCACCGTCCCGGACCGCACTCCCCGTATCCGTGGGACTACTGGCCTCACGAGGATGGACGTTCAGATTGCGGGTACGTAGGCCTGACAAATCTGGGCGCGACATGTTACATGGCCAGTTGCATGCAGCATCTGTACATGATGCCACAAGCGCGTGTCTCTATACTGGGCGCCGATTGCAGCCGTGCGAATAAGCACCAACTGACCCTACGAGAACTACAGAGAATGTTTGCTTACTTGTTGGAATCGGAAAGAAAAGCGTACAATCCGAGGAGCTTCTGTCGCGTGTACACGATGAACCACGAACCGCTCAACACTGGTGAACAGAAGGATATGGCTGAATTTTTCATCGATCTTGTTTCTAAGCTCGAGGAAATGACATCGGACCTAAAAAATCTGGTGAAAACGCTGTTCTGCGGCGTGATATCCAATAATGTAGTCTCCCTTGATTGCGAGCACGTTAGTAGGACATTGGAGGAGTTCTATACCGTTCGATGTCAAGTGGCAGATATGCGGAATCTCTATGAGAGCTTGGACGAGGTCACGGTGAAAGATACGCTCGAGGGTGACAATATGTATACATGCTCGCAATGCGGCAAGAAAGCGCGAGCCGAAAAGCGAGCCTGCTTCAAAAAGCTACCGCATATATTGTGCTTTAATACAATGCGCTACACCTTCAACATGGGCACCATGCTGAAGGAAAAGGTCAATACGCACTTTAGCTTCCCGCTTAGACTGGATATGTCGGGTTACGTCGAAAAGAAGCTCATGCCGCAGCATTATCAAGACGAGAAGAAGGCGGCGTCCGAGAAGAAAAAATCCGAGAACGGTGGACATTCGAGATCATTGCTGGTGGAGGCTGATGCGGAGGAAGAGGAGGAGGATATGGAGCATTATCAGTATGATCTGATTGGCGTGACCGTTCACACGGGAACGGCGGACGGTGGGCATTATTACAGTTTTATCCGAGATCGCACGTCTCCCAGCAAAGACAAATGGTTCTTGTTCAACGACGCCGAGGTCAAACCGTTCGATCCGAATCAGATCGCGGCCGAGTGCTTCGGCGGCGAGATGACCAGCAAGACGTACGACTCGGTGACGGACAAGTTTATGGACTTTAGCTTTGAAAAGACTAATTCGGCGTATATGCTGTTCTACGAATGGTGTGCCGATCCCGGCGAGCAAGCGAAGGAGGAAGAGGCGACTGTCTCGAGCCCAACCGCCGACAATATTGACAATAATACTGGACGATCGTCTTCTCTTATGCGTAATAACGTAAATAAATTGCCACCGCTGGAGCTCAACAAGGAACTCGAGGATTGGATATGGCAGGATAATATGCATTTTCTGCAAGATAAAAATATATTCGAACACACGTATTTTGGATTTATGTGGCAGATATGCGGATATATACCGCAGACGTTACTTTCCGTGCAGCCGGACATCACGGAGATGTCCGCGGAGTTGTCCACATCGTTTTTTATGGAAACATTTATACACGCCAAAGAGAAGCCGACGATGGTACAATGGGTGGAGTTATTGACAAAACAGTTCAACGGCTCGGCTGGCGCGTGTGCGAGATTCCTCGAACGGATGGCTGGCGATTCGTGGTGGCCTATTCAGATTCTAGTCAAATGCCCTAATCAGATGGTTAGACAGATGTTTCAACGGTTATGCATTCACGTGATTCAACGATTGCGCGCTACACAAGCACCTTTGTACCTTCTCTGCGACGAAGAGAACGACGTGAACACTGTTGGCACTCGATCCTGCGTCACGCGTTTCGTTAGGATGTTACTGTCGCTTATGGAACACGCCAAGCAACATCTTAAGCATCTCACCGAATATTTTAGCTTCTTGTACGAGTTCAGCAAAATGGGCGATGACGAAGCTATTTTTCTGATCAGAGTGCAGGCCATTTCGACGATGGTGAACTTTTATCTTGGGCATAAGACACACGAGTTCGTCGACGCGGTCAGTGAAGAGGAAGAGGAGGAGGAGATTGTGACCGTGCCTTCGGAGAAACTTCGACCCGCTTCGCTGGACAAGATGATCACATTGATAGCATACCTGGTTGAACGTAGTAGAGGACAAGATCACAGATTGGCATTGTCACCATCGGACCTGAGCGCTGTAGCAGGTGGCAAAGGCTTCCCCTTTCTGTATCAGCAGACGCGAGATATCATAAATCTCGCTCAGACCAGAAATTTGATTCAATCGTTGTGTCGTTGGAACGACAGGCTGGCGATACACGTTATTACGATGATATTTCAAGCGATAATGAAGCACACCGACGTGTGCCAGCCGTTTTTCAAGCTATTAACATTGTTGACGGAAAACTCAGGATTGAGTGGATTGCCTTGCATGACCCAACTAATCCTCGGCAGAGTCTGGGAAGCGGCGAGAGTCGCTCCGCACGGTGCGCTTGAATGGCTAGCTCTCGCAGTTACCAGAAGCAAACTTGCGCACGCCTGGGTACTACAAGAACTCAATACGTGGCTGCAACACTATCTCCTTGAGCACTCCAATCAAAGAGTCCGTTCGGCTGCAGCTTTCCTATTGGTGTCATTAGTACCATCTACGCATTTTAGACAGGGCTACCGTAGCGCTCATCGTCTTGGTCTGGGCTGTAACGCGTCCAGAGAACTTCAATTATCACCCGAAGCTATTCTGATATTGCATCAGATATATACGGCACTCCTGAGACTGCTTCAACCCGCACGACATTACATTGACATACAAACTCACGGTACAATGAAGCTCACTGCCTATTTTGCATTGCTCACATATTGCGTAGTCTCGAAAACTGAGAAATTAATGGTGAGTAAACGAAACAGTGGTACCTAAAAGAGGCTTCGTAGCTTTTTAATAAGTGAGGTCTATATAATTTATTTTTTATGCGTATCTTGCAGTTTGGTCAATATCTTAACGATTTGTGGACACTTTTCCATCCGAAGCTTTCGGAGCCAAGCATTCCGGTGCATCATAATAAGCAAGCGGTACTTTTATTCTGGTATCACGTTTGCTCCGACTGTCCAGAAAACGTGGCTATGATACTTCATAATCCACACATAACTAAAAATATTGCATTTAATTATATACTGTGAGTTACATTTTTATTTGTTCTTCGTACTTTTTGAATTTATTTATAAATACAAAAGCAAAATTTGGCATCAATTCTAAAAATTATATTTTTAAAAATTTAAATAAAAGTATTAAAATTGTATTAAAATTAATGTCAAAGAATTTTAAAAATTACGTTATTTATATGAGAATAATATAATACAATAGCATATCAGATATCTAATCTGTGTATATTCATAAAGATTATAAAAAATCAGAAGAATTAATATTATTCAACATAAAAATTTTTACTGTTTCTAATTTGTCTTATTCATTGTAGCGCTGATCATGAGGATCAAGATGTCGTGCTGTTTAACAGAGTTATGTTACCTGCGTATTACGGTCTCCTAAGACTTTGTTGTCAGCAATCACGAACTTTCACAAGACAATTGGCTGCGCATCAAAATATTCAATGGGCTTTTAAAAACATTACTCCACATCCTACTCAGTATTCAACCGTAAGTTTTCTTCATAAATTTAAATCTTATATTAGAAATAGGTATTATTGATGTAAATTTCCATTTGATTTCTTATTATTACATTTGCAATTGATATTTTTCACTTTTAAAATTAGATATCGTATCCAATAAACTTAAATTTAATTAAATTTTGCTATTTATCATTAAAATTTGTTATGTATATGTTGAATAGAAAGTTTAAAATTTATTTTAAAATATCATGTTTTATATATTGTTATTTGTTATTTGAATGAAGCTTTTCATTATAAATTCAAACAGAAATAATATATTTATAAGCGTAGGAAATAATCTTAGATATCCATTTTTATTTTGTTGAGATTTATTTTGATTAATTTATAATGTGATAGCATAGCATGTTACTGGCATCTAGCTACAAATTATAAAAATATATTATCTAGATAAATATGATTTATCAAAAGATGTATTACATCAGTGTATGTGTGAATATGTCAAGATAAAACTTTACTCCGCTTTTAATCTTTTTCTGTACAGGCAGTAGACGAATTATTTAAATTGATGCAATTGCTAGTCGCGAGGCATCCTGATCAAACAGAACAAGAAGAGGCAGAGATTGCATCGTTTAGAAGGGGCACTCTGTCCTCTTATTTGCAAGGACTTGATGGTCGTTCTTGTTGGGCAACTCTCATTTCTGCTTTTCGGTACGTTAAAATACTGATGATTGTATCTTAATTATAAGAAACATTACAACAAAAAACGTGACATGTTTAAATATTTATATTTTTTTCTAAACATAATATTGACTTGATACATATTTCATAACCGAGATGTAATATCTATATTTTTTGTTTCAGGATTCTCATTGAATCGGACGATGATCGTTTGTATGTTGTTTATAATGGTGGTTTAAGTATGGCCCTTGAAGCATTTCATATGCTACATATCATGTATCACGAAGCAACAGCATGTCATGTTGCCGGTGATTTGGCCGAGTTAATCGCCATTATCGTCGAACTTGTGCGATGCGTTCGTACCGCGAGAGATGGGCCAGACGCTAGAAATATTTTGGCTAACTGCAAAGAATGGCCCGACGTTCTACGCAAACTGGCAACCCTACTAAACACGTACAATCCGCCGGACATGAGAAACCTGGCTATAGACCTTTTAAAAGAACTCGTCATGCTCGTGCCTGCCGAAGCAATACTGATCCTAGCACCGTTGCTATCACACTGCCATGCAGCTCTTCAGGAATCCCATGCCGCTGTCCCACCGGGACCGTACCTTCCTAGAAGATCTACTCCGCCCGGAAAGATGCCGACGAGACCTGCCAGGCCGATGATACAAATGGCAGTACCTCACTCTCAGCTAGAGGCATCGAAAGGAGTAGATCCGGAGTACGATAGCGCCTTGCTTGAATTCTACTTACCTTATCACGAGCTGATAGATGTTATGTGCAGACTAGCGATTAATAATGATTGCATGACGGATGAGTTAGTGAACTTGAGTGCTATGCTTGGATTCGAAGGTGAGTGCGAAGAAGATGCGATTCATGTGTGGATCAATGCAAGGCCTTGTTGAATTTTGATTTATCTTACATTTTCAGGTGTACCTTTGCACTTGGCGTTATTTCCCAGGTTATGGTTGGATGTGCACGCCGCTACGCACATAGACAGAAAACACATCACATCTCTTCTTTGTTCTTCCTACACAGTGGATTATGTGGATGCTGTACTACTGGATGAAAGGTCGTCATTAGGAGTACCGGCGATACATGCCTTCCTCAAAACTTTTTTTCCTAAGTTGGCCACTCATGTATTAACCGAGCAAACGTGCTTACTCATCGACAATCTGGTCAGCTCGTTGACGACGATGGTTGAGGCAGTGGACGTTGATACGTCGGCGCATAGACTGACTGGTGATTTGCGCGCCTTGGCTCTCGTTTATAGCAGTAGCACAAGACTGAAACCACCTTCTAGCCTATTGCCGGCTTTAGAGACTCTATTGTCGCGAACTCGGACTATTACAATGAAGGAGAATCACACGTCGCCGGAATTAGAAACGCCTTCCAAGAGACGTAAGTTGTGCGGTAATAGCGAATCGGCCGATAGAGATTTATGCGCGCCCATCAAGAACATCGACGCGGAAAACAATATCTCCGAAACGGAAATGGATAAGGCGGACACAGTGAACGATACGATGTCTTCCGATTCTGGGGACGATAAGGCCGCCGCTACTGCCAGACACAAGTCGAGCAATGTTCAAGCGGAGGCTATCGCCACTAGCATCAATGATGCCGTGTCGCCGCCGAGTTTGGTTACCACCGCTAATAGTTGTACAAATCAGTTGCGTTGCTCGTTGACCAATGTCTCGTGGCTCGAGATGTTGGAGAAGACCATCGTCGATCTTCAAACGATCGTACAAGTGCAAAGCAAAAATAATTAATCGCGCGGATTCGGTGCGATGCAGGCGGAGCAAGCTCTCTAGACAACCTAATTAACAGTACAGAACTAACGACCAGTTCTATGATCTGTAACTGTATGTGATCCTTTGCGTCGATAGAATTAACGGTGTGTCTTCTGCGCTCCTTCGGAATCAGATATAACTTAGTACATATTGTATCGTATATATGTATCTCGAAATCGCGATTTACTTTCCAAATATAGAAGAATAAGATATTTTCGTTACTTGACTTATAAGTTACGTTCAAATATGAAGTTGGAGAGTCGGGTATCACCGTCGTATCTGGACTGAATAATTTTTTCATCGAAATGTTCGTTAGTGCTGTGAGATAGAATTACTTGTCTCCTGGCAGCAACATAATGCGTGCACTTTAACGTGCAATAACATCGTAAATCATCAGTATTCCGAAAACGCAACTGTGTGGGTACTTTTTACACGCACTATTTCTCTAAAAATTTTATTGAAACTGCTAATTATTTCGACGATTTCGCGTTATGCTTGTGTATGAAAGGAATCACAGGGTTTTAAGGAATCATTAAAGTAAACAAATAAGGGAGTACGTTTTATCGCTGGTTAAAATCATTTTTATTGCTCATTGCTGAAATGCTCACTCTTTTATTCATTGTAATATTGATGAGTTCAACACATAAATTGATAGAAACTATCGGTTTTGAAATAAATACATTGTATATATACTTTGACAATTGCCATATATAAGAAAACTTTTACTTAAATACAAAATTTTTTTCTAGGGCTCATATTATTTAAGATAATAAATTAAGTTTTGCATATCTCACCAGTATATCTTTTATTTTTTGTCAATGATCTGGCAATTTCGAGAAAGAAAGTCGTTTATTTTATCATTTTTCGAATTATTTTATTTCTGATGCAAGGAGAAATATTTCTGTGTATGCACGATCGGTTGTACGTAAAAGAAAAGGAAAGAATTTATTATATATGATGATAGATAATTACTTTGAAAATGTAATACTGAGGAAATCTATAATTCACAGAATATTAAAAATCTAAGTTTTCATTGAATTATATAATGATGCAAGATTATAATGCAGTTTGCTAGCGTATTTATTTTTGACACGAGTTCATCTTGATCGCGCGGTATTATATCAGTCTTATTTCTATATCATTGATAGCGCTGTTTATTTACGCTAAGTTCTTTTTATATTTAATAATCGTTGCAACTAATTACAATTCTTTTACAGTCTTCTTCGTCCAATTTTTTTGTCAAAAATCAAAGACATCTCACATCACAAATGAACAACGAGTCGAGAAATTTCCAGTAAGCGCTAAATATTCAAGCCAACATATCTATTCCTAATTGAAAATACACTGCAGTCATTTTCAGTACATAGTGTTTTTATAATTTGACTTTCCGATTAAAATGGCACTAAGATAATACCTCATCCAATCTTGGTCCTTGATTACGACAGTAGAAGCGAGAAATTGTGTTAATATTATTCAATTTTATAAAGATGTCTTGATTTCCATGATTCATCATCATACATAAATAAAGACAATAATTTATATCAGTCAGCGTTAGATGCAAAACTTTCAACTTGATTTTTGTGTCAAAACTTATTTGTTTCTTCTTTGCTGCTTGTATTAAGCATACATATACGCAAGGCCAATAACAGATAAAAGTAAATCATATATATTTGACATCAAAATTTAATATGATTACAATTTATAATATTTATGATCTTTAAATGATTTTATAAAAAAATAATTTAAAATAAAATGTTTTAATAACGATTTTAGAAAGTCCGATACAATATATTTATGGTACGGACGTTTTTCATGTAAAATGTTACAAACATTAATTACGTATTTGTCCTGAAGATACGAGTGGCAAGAAGAAAATAATAAACATTAGCATAAAAATCCAGTCAAATATTTTTCATCTAATGTCGATGTATGATTTATAATTTTGTGAGAAAAAGACAAAAAATATTTATTTCCTCTATTTTTGTTCGTATATTTTCTACGATAAGTAATAAGAAAGTTCGTTTTGGAGAGAAGAAATGCACTAAAAATGTAAAAATAAGACAACTTCAAAATAGATACATTATACGTTGAGGTAAATTAGTTGTATTTATTTTGTTTATCATACTGATAAATTTGTACGAAGATTTTTCAATTTGGGAATGGGCGAACATTGTTAGGCAATTAAAACTATCAAAGATAGATCTTGCAAAATATCTGCTGTAAATTTCGTTATCAAAGAGACTATCAAAGAGACAGATTTATTTATTGTACCGATATTAGATTCGCTGTACAATGTTGATAGAATGTCAATAATAATGTTGCAAAATTTGCCAAAGAAATATAATAACGCTGATAAGAACAGCTAAGAAAATGCAGCAGAATTTTCGTTCGATAGATTTCATTTGATTTCTACAATATATTTGCAAATTCTATCAGTGCGCTTTATTTTATTTACTATCGAAAGATGACTAAAAATCCGTGAAAAGATCCTCAATATAAAAATTTAAAAAATTAAGAAATTTAGCAACATACAAAAAATATGTGTGCTTTGAATTCACCCGAAAAAGGTAGAATCAACAAATGATTTTTCGATAAGTCGAAAATTTTTTCGGTAAGTTTCATTAAAAATAGTATAAGGTTTTTTTTTTATAGAATTTTAATCCATTTCCTTTCCATTTGTTTTTTAAATAAAATGGAAACGAAAAGTTGACTAATTTTTGTGAATTTATTTTATCCCTTTAAAATAAATTTTCGGAGCAGATAGCTAAAAAAAAAAAAAAAATAACATTCTTTATGTCATCAAGATATTCTCTATGTATTGTTAAAGTTTCATAATTTTTTAAATTAGGGATCTTTTCTTGTAAGAAGATTGGGATTTCGTATATTTTAAAGATATTTTGGCGCTATCAGAGCTAATTTATTTCGATTGTAATGCGTAAAAGGAAAAAGATTGACGTAATTTCTCGCTCATGGTAAAGCGAACTCCGTAATGTAATACGGAATACGACTGCAGCGTATCAGGATCGGTCAAGAATATGAAAAGACAAATCCTACGGAAAAGGTATGTGTACATAGACACGCTCTGGTCGATCGTTTGACAGAAAACTTTTTCCCGCATTAATACTAACGCTCTCGTTCTCTAGATGTCCAATTAGCGACTCCGCACGCTGCTGAGATCCAAGAACGCACACGGACGCACGACGATCGATAAAGTGCTTATCTGCTTGATGCAATGTACATGTATAACTATTCTAAATGTCGCTACATTTTCGATGTACTTGTAATGAAAATGAAGAAAGAAATGGAAAAATATATACGGATCTCTCCCCTCTTCCTCTCTCCCTATCTTTTCTTCTCTCTCTCTCTCTCTCTCTCTCCCCCCCCCTCCCCTTTCCTCCTCTTTTCGTTTCCAAGCGAGTGTTATTCAATTTTATTATACATATATATATATATATATATATTCGACAATCGATCCAAATGTATCACATATTCGAACTCGTATGTGATGAACTTTAGTCATAATATGAACATATAATAAAATTCATTTACTTTATTTTACAAGAGGATGTTGTAACAAGGAAAATCCGAAATTTAGATGAACTTTTGTGGGTATATAAAGTAACATGTCCTATCCATCAAAGATATATGATTTTCAATTTGAAAGCCAGAAAGATGCTTTTTTTTTTACAAGAAAAAAAACTCAAACTTTAGTAATAAGTTATGAACTATAACATAAACAGAAATTTAAAAAAGCCTTTTTATTTCCTTTCATGTTAATTTTTTGAAAATTTCTATTGTATTTGTTACTTTGTAATCCATAATTTAACATTTAACTTTAATGCTAGTATTTTTTTTACTGTAATTTAAAAATTGTACAAAAAAGTAAGTGTGCCCTTTAATTTTAAGATCGAAAATTATACTTTTAAAGGACGACATAAGCAAGGACACAAGAGCATAAATAATGCATATTATTATCCATATATTTAATAAATTATTATAAATTCACTGTAACCATTTTTCGGATAAACCTGTAACGCAATTTTATTTAAACATAGACCGTCACACTACAGAAATTCATCCAAATTGAAGAATTCAAATTCAGATGTTTTCTTGTTAATTATGCTTTCATAATTCTCGTGTTTAAATAAAATGAATTTATTTGCGAAAAGAAAAGGTATGGCATAAGCAAAATGAATGCATCATGAACAGATCTACAAATTCCACAAACCGTATGTTATATTTAATTATTTTTTTGTAATAAAGTTAATATGTCAAGTTAATCATAAGGCATCGATTATATTAATTATTTTAATACATTGATGCTATGTGCAGTGTACAACATTTTTAGCTTTGCGAACATTTATTTATTGTACTGTTTTATATTCATTCATTCTTATAAGTTAAAATATCCCACAATATACATACAATAAACAATAAAATTTAATTTTAATAAAAGTTGAAAAATTTTGTCGTTCACAATAAGTTAACATAACGTATTAAGAATGCTTCGAAATTACTAGATTTTTCTGGCAGTTTTTTTGAAACCGAAATTTAATTTTGAAATAAAATTTTTTAGCGAAAATAGAAAAGAAAATATCATAATATATTTATTATAATTTGTAACATTTTATGTATTTTTACAAATATTAACACAAAATAAATTCTATCAATCTTATTCGCGTTTGAATTGAGGAACGTAATTTTGTTAATTACGTAATTTCTCTCGAAAAGTTTTCGATCTATTAATCATCCATGATCATCTAACTTGAAAAAAATTAATGATATGATTATTTCTAATAATTCTCGCTAATTAAAATGTCTTTAAATTAGCTAAAAGGATCTGTTATTGAAAGAGCATTTGATGATTTTGCAATATTTATATATGTATTGTGTATACATATAGTTTATTTCGATGTTCATAATAAAATATATTGAAAACAATGCATTTTTTAAAGAAAAAATTTTTTAAGCAAAAATGGTTTAATTTTGAAGTAAATATAAAATGATGGAAATAAATTTTCTTTAATATTTAATTTATTTTATTTTAAAAGTATTTTTTATTATATTTTAAATGAATTTAAAGGATTAGTCTAATTAATTAGTATAATTAATTTTGATAAAAATCCAAACTGCGCATGCGCGCGCGCGTGTGTGTGTGAATGTATGTATGTATATGTTTATGAAAAATGTACTTATAAACTTTTACAAGACCATCACGATTAAATGCGATGTAGCCATTGACACCTTTGCGTTCTTCATAATGTCGGTAATGATTTTTAAACATTAAAAACGAACAACACTTGTAATGATAAAATTGTCAAAAATGTATAAAAATATTTGAGCGTGTTATAAGTCTTTTTACTTCTTTTTACTTCTTACTCTCTTGATTTTTTTCATTTCTTTCCATGAAACTCTCATTAATCGTCTTATCAGATTTGTATCTTCAACATGCATTTATACATATTTATTTTTGTATTTATTATCTCATTAAGATGTACAGTTTTTTCAAGCAATAAATAATAAAAATTTCTTCATTTTAAAAATAAAATATTGCTATAAATGTTAAATATTGCTATAAATGTCTGCATTGCTATAAATGTTAATTTCGATAATATCAACACCAATAATTAGGCATTCTGACAAGACATAAAAATTCTGTATTAATGCAAGTATTCTGAGTACTAATTTTTATTCCTGATTTCATTTTTATTGTCAATTCTGCGATTTTTTTCGTATAGAATGAGAGAAATTATCTTGCCTTATGTTTATTTTTCTTTTTGCAGGTCCGTCAAAATGAAGTTATGAATCTCGTGCACAACTTTTCTATTAATAATTAAATATTAATAATTATAATTATAATATAATTAATTATAATTATAATTATTAATATTTATAGTTATAAATATTTTTACACTATTTACATTATTTTCATATCACAATATTTGTTTTATGTAAATAAAGTGAAAATTATGTTCTCTCATTTTATAACAGACGCGTATTTGTCACTAGTGATGGAAATTGCATTTATATCTGCATCTTTAGACCAATCAAATTGCCAGCAGCTTTTTCCTGATTAGTCAAGATATGATCGTAGATGAAAGTGTGACGCAACCACCAATCGCTAGTGATACAAGCATTGATAGTTTCATGAATGAAACGGAACACATTCCTACAGAGCTCGATCCTTAACCTAAAAGTTTCACATGTAGCTTTATGGCAGTTTGAATTGTTTATTGAAAGTTCTTAATGATTAATTAAAAACTATTTTGTCTTGAAGACATTGAATAAAGTTATTGTTATGTACTATTGTTAATGTACGATATGTGTAATGTTAAGAGCCGTTAATTTTTAATTGAAGTTACATTGGATAAAATTTTCATCCAATTTTTAATATTGATTATTGTATGTTGTGTGATATATGAAATATATTAAAAATGAGTTTATTCGTTATAAACAGGTAAATAATAATATAAATCTTTTTCTATAATTATAATGTACAAAGTATAAGTATTTTATATACAAGTTATTATTTATTATATTTGTTTATATAATATACATTTTATATAGATATGAAGGGGAAAGTAAAGAAGAAGTTCAAAATGAAACAAATCATCTTTCTGAATTGTTAAAGAGAGTAGAAGAACGTAAAAAACAAAGAGTTGCAGTAAGTAATAAATCAACAGATGCGGATAGAAATAATTCAGAAGAATCTTCGAGAAAGAGAAAGAAAAATTTGTCCCATGCTGATAAAATTGATGAATCATGTAATGAGAATAAAAATATTAACAATGAAAAAAGTATAGAACAAAGTATCAATGAACAATGCACAGAAACAGTTGAAGTATCAACAAAAAAAAAAGGAAGAAATGTGTTAAAAATGAACATTGTTCTGCTATAACAGAAGAAAATATAGATTTAGAAGAAAAAAATAATTTAGTAAAAGAAAGTAATGATGATGATATTACAGAAAAGAAAATATCTTCACAGAGCAATTTTGTAATATTAGGTGCAAAATCTCGAAAAAAACAACGTGAAGTGAAGAGAGTATTGCCAGATTGGTTGGCGCATCCCGAAGTTGTATCTGCTGATTTGAATAATGGGCCAAATTTGGAAGAATTAGAATCAATTTTAGATGCTAAATTGATGGAAGTTTTAAGGACTAATGGTATTGTTAAGTTATTTCCAGTTCAATTTAGCATAATTAAATGGTTATATAAATGCAATATGGATAGAAAATTGGGATGGTGGTTGAGAGATACTTGTGTATCTGCTCCTACAGGCAGTGGTAAGTATTCCTAATAATAATGATTATATTTTATTATACATAATAAAATTATTGATTATTTTTGTTGATATTGAAAAATTTTATGTGATTTTATTAGGCAAGACTCTAGCTTATGTCTTGCCTATTGTGCAAGAATTGCAAACACGATTGGTACCAAAGATTCGTTGCCTGATCGTTCTGCCAGTGCAAGAACTGGCCGCACAGGTACATAAAGTAATGGTCACTTATACATCTCATACAAATCTGAAGGTGGGCTTGCTCTCGGGTGCATTCTCATTTGAACAAGAGCAAAATAATATAATTAAGAAAAGTATGTATTTGAGATTATAAATGAATTAAATTGATAAATATAAGAAATTTAATAAAATAATTTTTATAGCTGAAAGAGGAAAGTACTTATCTACAGTGGACATTGTAATTGCGACACCTGGCCGATTATTGGATCATTTATTAAAAACGCCTGGGTTTTCCTTAGACTCTTTAAGGTTTCTCGTTATCGACGAAGCTGATCGTGCAACAGAATGGTTACAATATTTACCTGAACCTCATTCTCGCGCTCCTATTTTGACGCTTGGGACTATGCGTTCAAGGTTAATTTTTTAACATAAAACAAGATATATTATTCAACATTATATCTCTTAATAATTGAAAATAATTTTTAATTTTGAAGTATAATTTATAATAATTCTATATATAAAAAAATTATTCATAATTATCAATTTTTTAACAGTGATATCATACCAGCTCAAAAATTATTATTTAGTGCCACTTTATCGCAAGATCCTGAAAAATTGAGTCGGCTGGGTCTTTTTCAGCCAATATTATTTACAACTGTAGTTACCGACAAAGATACAGACATGAATTTGGACAAGATCGCAGGTGATTTTGTCGGACGTTACACAAGTCCAGAAGAATTGACGGAACTTGCAGTAGAATGTGCACCCGAGTACAAACCAGTTGCTCTATATCAGTTATTGACAAGGCACGATATCATTCCTAAGACTCTTGTTTTCACGAATTCCGGACATAGTGCGCATAGACTGGCACTCTTGATGCAGTCACTTTTGACGGAACGGAATGTCGCAGTGGGAGAATTATCTGCCCAACTCGCGTCGAAGCAACGCGAAAGTGTCTTGAATAAATTCGCAAATACTGAGATACATGTGTAAGTTTTTGTTTTGCCGAAATGAAATAATTCTAATTCTATAGAGAAAAAATTTTTTTATTTTCAAAATAAAAATATTTTAAATTCTTTTAAAAAGATAAGAAGATTGTACTTTACGAAAAGTAAAGAAGAAAATAATGTAATTTTCATTATTCTTTTTAGATTAATAAGTTCGGATGCGTTGGCTAGAGGATTAGATATTTTGAATGTGCAGTTAGTCGTATCTTATGACCTTCCGAAGCATATCAAGGGCTATATACATAGAGCTGGTAGAACCGGGCGAGCTGGAAAACCAGGCACTGCTGTATCCGTGCTCACGACAAATCAAGTTGGGATATTCAAACAAATGTTAACCAGCGCACATAAAACTGTGCCCAATATTGAGCAAATGGAACTAAACGCTATTGCAAACGCGGTGAATTATCAGAGTCACGTTCAGAAATTAAAAGAAATACTCGAGAAAGAAAAGATCGAGAACTTGGAACGAACGAAAGCTATTAAGCGTGGACGTGTGGTAAGTACGACCAGGCAAAATGAAAATGTAAAATAATATTGTATATAAAAAAAGAAATAAAAGGATACATCAAACTTATTTACATACAACTTGTCAGTTGTATCAGTTATCAATCGTTACCTTCCAGAGGTATTATATAAATGATAGAATTAATATTTATTTAAATGGGGCTAAACTCACCTCTAGCCTGTAAAAGGTGCTGTAAAAAAGAAACATGTAAAATACAGATAGTAAGGTAACATCGATAATAACATTTTATTGTCTGAAGTTAATAGTATCGTACATCATGCTCATTCCCTATGATTTGTTCTATGGGTAGTCGCGATATATCTTGTTTTGAACTGTATACTAGTTATTACTCCCATTGTTCTTTATTCCGTCGAAGGCAATATTCACAATTTTAATTTACAAAAGATAAACGGCGATTACAGGTAACGATGCAGACATAAGTTATTTACTATTATTGCTATGCGTAGCCTCATTGCTCCAAACTAATTATTAAATTTCTCTTTAATGTGCAATGTTACTTGATTGCAACTTCCTTTGACTCAATTCTCTAAGTAAATTGTTGCAAAATTTTATGCCTGTTTGATCTTCACAAAGATACGCCACAGCGTATAACTGTAACAATTGCAAATCGATATTAAATTGAATTACAAGTTACAATAGTGTCTAATTTTGAATCGCGTTAAGTAAAGAAAAAGAAGTAAATCGATAAACGGATATCAAACATTTTCTTGAAATGTTATTTCTATCTATGCAATAATACGGTAAAATATTGAAATATAACGTGAAATAATATGAAAAATGATTTAACATATGACATAATTTCTGATTAATCAGTTGTTATATTTAATCGGAAGCAAGATTTTTCGAGATTTGTATTTATACACGTCTGAAATTCATATTTTATGATACCTTTCGCCATATCGATATATAATATGTAAATTTTAACATATACAAATAATTGTGCGTTTTCCTTTCGGTTCCGCATTATTTTCGCATGACATATTCAATTACACGACTCTGGTTAAAGTTCAGGCACCCTCAAACTTGTAATTCAAACCTCGGGCATGTTCAAAGCTGTCGGGATTGTTACTAATTTCGTATTGTGCAACCGCAGTCGTCGAGTTGAACTAAATCGCACGGACATTGAGATAGAGACACTGACCGTTCAGGTACTGTCGAATTTCCGCGAAAACAAGCTCCTTTTAAGTCATTTTTTAAATCAATGTTTATAGATTTTCATCTAATTAATACATCGTTAACAATTATAAACAATCGTGTCATACTTCGTTCGTCAAAAATCGGAGACGGATTGCGTTGATAGATGAATAGATCGGCTTTTGGTTTTTTTTTCTAAGGATTTGAAGCAAAAATATTTACGATTAATATTGGTTTTTCATACAAAAAGTTTAATAGCTTAACATGGGGATACTCGCCGTTTTTATTTAAAATTTCGCATATTTATAGCCTTAGGCCTTCGCGACTCCCCTAATTCACCCGTAGATTCGTTAAAGATTAACAATTGGATTGCTGTGATGGATATGGAGCGAAGATCGGCAATTTTTTCATTTGTCACATATTAATTATGTTTAATTTTATATATAAAAATTATTTCATTTTTTTAAATTATATAAAAAGCCAACAATAATAAAGAAAAACATATAAATATATAAAATATGATAAGCAACATCGAATGTTCAATACATAAAATTAAAAAAAAAACTTTTAATGAAATTAAATTAAAGACTTGATTAATAATATAAGATTGTAATATAAAATATTTTATGTTTTCGACAAAATTGTAAAATTTTTTTTAATTTTAGATATTTTTTTTGTAGTAAAAAATTAAAATTCAAAATAAAATAATTATTCGAAAAATTCGGTTTTTTGATATTTTTAGATAACGAGATTCTTTCAAATTACCGATCTTTTTTCGTGATTTAATAGCTTAGAAGCTGTTGATATTTTCCAAAAGTTTAAAAGCATCCGCTCGGACTTTCGTTGTCTGAACTTCTAACGAACGAGCAAGATTCACACTTACTTACATCTAATGTATGTATATGTAACTGTACGTGAATACACGTATCGTGCGTGCAGGCACGACTTTATTTTCCATATTTATTATACACCCGCCTTACGAACCCGCCTTCTATATATATATATTTCTTGTATTGTTACAAAATCTAGTCTTGTTCGAGATACATCGAATCGAACGAATCCTAAACGCTTACCTCGAAAATCCGAATCCGTCCACATACAGCTTCTGTGATATTTACACTTACACATATGTCTTTGTCAATATGTAATACCAGCGTATTGTACATACATTAAACGTGGTCCTATATGATTCATATGTCTCGTTGCCGTGTATATGTATTTTTATACGTTTTTTTTTTTTTTTATAATTAACGCCGATAAATTTGCCGCGTTCTTATAGTGGCGTACCTTACAATAGAGGGATATCCAATGTTTTTGCCTAATGGGACTTCATATATTATGTATGAATATATATATGTATATATGAAAAAATGTACATTATGTATATGTTGCATATATAGAGTGTATAAAAAATGCTCGTCCTTTTCAGGCTACAGACGCTAAATAAATAGAAATTCTTATCGGAGACTAAAATTAAAAAAGAATGTATTATTTCTCTTTAATGCATTTTTTAAAATAATTTCGCAATTCAAAATTTAAGGACGAAAATGAACAATGTGAACAATGTATCATATTTCTTAAGTTAAACTTAATTTAATCAAATATTCATTTTTATTCGAGCACGCTGCAGCTGTAAGAAGATGCACGATGTATTTTTCATATATTCTGTATATATTTTATATGGGATGCGCGCGCGCCAAGCAAGTCTGTGATGTGCTTAAAAACTCGCCGGATTTCTGCAAAAGTGCCGCTAAGTATATATTTAAGTATAACAATATATTATTTACAATTAAGTACAGGAATCCCCTTGGAATGTACAATGAGGCGATTAACGCAAACAAATGAATAAAAAAAAATACATTTTACACACATTTAATAATATGGTACATTGGCACCGTCATTCGTTACAGACATTTACTTAACTCGCACAGATCTCAATTCGATGAATAATTGACGGCAACAAACAACGCCACGTGTTAAACGCAATCAAATCGAATACGACGACGAAAATCTCGGCGGCGGGGATATTTTTCTGAGGGGAAGCGAAAAAGCAATATTATATAAATCGTCGGCATTTTCTAGCGAGCTTTTAAGCCGAATGAACGTTCGATCTGACGAGACTTCACTATACCGTATTTATTGTCGTGCCATCCGTTCTTCGTGTACGGACTACAGTATACGTCGGCTCATCTAATCGTAAAAGTGCACCGACCGAATTAAGCGACGCCAATTTGCGATAGTCGAGCGCACATTTAGCCTGCCCAGTGTCCTGGTCGCGACAGATGCTCATGGAAAGATAAAAAAGTATCGTGGAAGACGAAACGGGGCCGCAAAACGGTCGTCGGTGAAGTACCGGGCCTGGGAATGGGGAGGGGGGGGGGAGGGGTCGGAGGGGAATGGGATGGATCAGGGGGGGGTCTCGGATGGTTCGAATCTCATCGTGTTCGATAAAGCTTTGCACATTTAGCGACCCTCTTGTATTTTACATTAATACATTTAAAATAACAACGGGCCTGGCATTGATTTACTTTTGGTACTTACTGGCAAACGTTGGAAACAGGAAGTTACGTATGCGTAGAGTGATTCAAGAGAGACTCCTTAGGTGGCTCGTCAGGTGGATCGAGCAGCACACGTTATCGCATTTCCGACCGCTCAATTATAAAAAAGCTTACGAACTCTCGCTCTCTACGTATCTATCAGATAAAATCGCTCTCTGCGTATAAATACAGGTATAATATATAGAATAAAAAATGTGTAAGGTAACGAAGTAAAGATCGTATCGCGGTATTAACATTCGTTGAAAATGAAATTCAAATTTCCTTTTGATTTTTATGCTGATATATAATGTCTCGATCGTTAACATTCGTGTAAAGTAAGCGGTTTACAATTTGTATCTTGACATACGCGATTTATTCCCCAAGTGTATCGACCCTAATCGCGGCAAGAATTTTGGCGAATATTGATTTTCAAGAAGATTCCTAACGTTCGAATCAGGAAGTTCGTGCATCGCGGGTAAATTCGCGGGTAAATTTCCTCTGTACAATAACTCCGATGAAACAATTGATGAAAAATAATTTTCTCCCGGTTTGAAACAGCGTTAGAAAAACAAGTCGACCCGTCGTCGATTTTTCTACCTCGATCTGCAGATTTGTTTGTTTCTTGTTTTAGCTTTTTACTGGGATCTGTCGAACAGTTAAATTCAATAGCCGCGACGAGATGTACATACATACGAACTCTACAGCATGCCGAATGTCGGCAGAGTCGGGAGAACTCATCTCGCAGTTCCGGCACATTCGCACCTCGATGTTATCTCCTTTTTCCGTGTTCGCCGTGTCGACCGGGCAGCGCGATGCACGAACTTGTTTGACCTGTATTTTATCTACAGTCCGATTAATCGTCGGTTACGTTTAAAACGAGAGAAAAAGAGAAGAGACGCCCTCCTCTCTCTCTCTCTCTCTCTCTCTCTCTCTCTCTCTCTCTCTCTCTCTCTCTCTCTCTCTCTCTCTCTCTCTCTCACACTCTCTCCAACTCGCACATGTTGACGTCGTGTCGCGTATATTTACAGAGAACCTGTCGAAAGTTTCGACGCGGTCTTTTTGGCGTTCGGCAATGATTACACTCGATCGCAATGTAGAAATACATTCCTTGTTATATCGAATAAGGGGAAGACCTATTTCTTTTTTTTTTTCCCTTCTTTCTTCAGCGTGAATTTGCACCCCCACGCCTCATCCTCTCGAATCTATTCCCATCACGAGCCTCATCAAACCCTCAAACAGTGCTGTGGAAATATTTTTGGAGAAATATGGGATTTCACTACCGCGCCAATCTGTAATCGTTGTAATTGTGATAATAAAGCAGAAGAAAAATTTGAAATAATAATAAAACAAAATTCTTTAATTTCAAAAAATTTTTTACTTAATTGTATCCTTGAATAATCATTTATTATCAATTATTAATATCAATTATTTTTGCAAAAGAAAGAAAATCTTTTTCACTATCTCAATGGACTTTTACTTGTGAAATTTTAATAGCACTGCTGAGGTTTAAACGACTCGAGAATAGAGTCATTTCTTCTTTTTTATACATTTTGTCCACCTTTACCTTTTGTCATTCATTCATGTTTACAATTATCGCCAGAGGGACTGACCTACCCAGACAGGATTGTCGCATACGCACAGCGCGTCCCTTTGCGTTACTTTTAGGCGATTAATGAAGATCCACGAGAGATCCCCCAACTGACCCCTTTGCTTGCTTTTCTAAGTTCATTCATTAATCTCTATCCTGAATTTATAATAGTTTCATGCGCAAATGGTGTCTGTGTGATGATACGGCGAGATGTTAATTCCCTTATGAACAAGAAACTAAATCAAACAATAATTGTTGTTAAGGATTCTCAATATTGAAATAAATAGTTATAGGATTTTCGATATTGAATACATTTTATACGAAGAATTTCTACATCTCCTAATTATGCTGTTCTCTCATATTAATGCTTATTTTTTTATTTATTTAAGAAAATAAATATTGCATTGCTTCAACGAAGGGAAAAGAAGCTAAAAACTTACTCTATTCTTTATTAAAAATTTATTTCATATATCTTCATGTAAGAAATATCTTAGAAATAATTGCAATGATTAGTAACGGTCGGATTAAAATTTCCACAAATTTTAATTTGGAGTATAGATTTCTAAAATAGTAGTGGAATAAATTTAATGTTTATTTTAAGGTCGTGATTAAAAGATGCCAGGGGATTACATAGATGATAGGGGATAATGAAGATAATGATCAGACAGTCGATGTCAAATTCCGTTGGAATCAGGCTTTTCTCCCCTTAAAGAGATTGGTTTTCTACTCCTCAAAGATATTGGATTTCGCGATCGATACTTAGAACGGAGCGCGTAATCTGAGAAAGCATTTTGACATCACAAAAAACGTAAAGTACATCAAATAATGATTAAAGCAGAAAGGTCTGTAATATTCAGAGATTTCTTTATAACGATTACTCTCTTTAAATATATTCTGACAAGCTTTGAGAGAAAACTTTCGCCATTATTAACGGCGGAGATAATCGTTTCCTACAAGGAAGTTATGTAACATTAAATATCTCAAGATCGACTTTGTTCAGAAGAATAAAGATTCGTTCGCATTAAATATGCGAAATATAAAAAAAAATATGTCATTTCGCTTAACTTTCAAATACGTTCAAAATCAGATATATATTTGGCAGTAAGATATTTTGACCGATGAAAACGTCTGTATAAAAAAAGTATTTTAATAAATTATAATAATTCCAAACATCCGATAATTTTGGAAATTTTCAGCAAGCTTTTTTAATGGCATGCGCGATAAATATCATCACATGCCTCAGTAGTCGAAGGGATAAGATGCCTGTCCGGTGTCAGCAGAAGATCCAGGTTTCGATTCCTGGCTGAGAATGGTATTTTTTCGCAAAATAATTACGAGTTTTCACGACTGGTTCGTGGTCGGGCCCCGCACACTCTCCCTTATTATTTGCGCGATTAAAAAAAACGAATTAAAACTTTAACACGTCAATTCGTCAATGAAATATCAATTCTTCTACCTGCGTCGCGTGTAGCATCGAGGTCTTCTGAATTTATCGATCATCGATCCGATTCGTGGATCTTCATAATCGCCGTTTTCCTCGTAATCACCGTTTATTTCTAGAGCTCTTCGCCGTCGACTTATAGGATGAGTAACAGAAGAAGCAAAAGCAAGATCGCGAACACCGAGGGATGACACAGGTTCGCGACACTCACGACTATCCAAGGCGGAAAGGAAGACAAGACGATGGGCATGTCCGTTCTCTGGCCCTCTTGAGTGCTACCGGTCATGATTTGCGTGGTACCGAAGCCGTCATCGCCGCCACCGACGGAATCGCTTTCCTCGAAACCACCCCCGTATCCTCGCCTACCGTTGCTAATGTTGCTCTTCTTCTTGCCCTTCGATATCGGCTTCTTGCGCTGCCTGAGATCCGTGTTCTTCGTGAACGTCGTCGGTGTCGTCCTCGAGAGGTGCAGTTCTAAGCAGGGAATAACAAAGTATCTGTAAACGAATCGTGGCTCCTCACACAATAATAGCAATTTATTTAAAAAATTATTTGACATTATTAACATTAATGCGCGCGAAGTTCGACCGTTTCAATATCTACCGATAAAATTTACTAATAACGGAGAACGGAGAAGGCAAACTTACTTAAGGCGAACTCAGGAGTCTGATTTTTCCTTTATTGAATTTATATACATAAATTTGAAGTTAATTGCTTATATCGCGAACTTATTAATTTATTGACAAAAGGCAAACAAAAAAATCCACAGCCGTTCTAATCGTCACAATATTTACGAAGAATCAATTACTACTATATTACTATCGTCGTATCGTTGAATGGATATATAACTTATCCCAAATGAATTGAGAACAAGCCGTTAGTGAGAAAAACGAGGAAATGCATTTTACGATAATTCAGAGAATTCTCTATACCTTGCAATCGCACCACGCCGTCGGCCTTCCCGAGCGCGTTGACGGACGAGCACACGTATCCGCCGAAGTCCTGTTTTTCCAGGGAATTGACAGTGAGATTCATTTGCCAGGAGTACTCGTTCAACGCGTACTCCGACATTATGTATTTGTCACTGGGCAGCAATTTTTCGCCTAAATAGAAAACGAACGAAAATATTGCGCTATTTTTAATTGCGTGGCTCTCTCACATGCAGCAGAAATGTCTGCCGCGAAATTCGATTTCAGGCATAAAACCGATTAAAAATACGTCCGTGCGATGGACCGTGTACATAGCCTGATTTACACGGTAAAAAATACCGCCCATTTACAGCGTGTCTAACGGGCACTTATTTCACTTTAAAACTTAACTGACACAGTTTTCTACACCGGCAGTGCGCGCCTGGCACGGCTGGACTATCAAACATTTAAATTACGTTGCAAATTGTTTCAAACTTCGAAAATAAACATTTAATATGAAAGAAATAGGGAATATTTGGTGAAGTAAGTTATTAGTGTACACTAGGAAGGGAATAAATATTTTTGCAAAAAAAAAAATAAATAAATAAAGAATCAAATAGAATGAAAAAAAAATATTCATACCCACACTCGAGTCAATAACTACGAGAGAAATATGTAACTTACAAACAACATTTTTATGGCTTTCCAATCAGAGGGATACAAATGACTCAATTTTTGCTACAACTATATCAATATTATTCTCGTGCGTATTTTTCAATATTTGCGCATCGTTTATTGCGTGGCATAAAGTAATGCTTTGAAATCATCATCCACGAGAAATTGTCGTCGTTAATCAGAAATTTTTCAAACGCATTGGTTTTCACGGGAGATTTATGGGAGCTTTTTTTCGGAACGGCAGCGCGTTTACGAGCAATTCAACAAATTTACATATTTGATTAACGCAGGTGTCCGGCGCAAAAAAAAAATCTTCTCCCGATGAGATAAAAACCATAATACAATCGCATAGAATACGTATGTGTGTACGCGTGTCCGTGTGTAGGTGCGCAGATTTTCAATCTAACGCAATTCTGACTTGCAATCAATATTATTATGTTGGAGTTTACGCTTTAGAAACTGATTGCAGCGATTCTATGGTTAATCAGGAGTGCAAATCTGATGGTGTAACGTGACATAATACAAATTACTGCTGGGCTGTCTGATTAGTATTGAATTCAAATTTCAGCAAAATTTCTGGATGGGTGTAAATTTTGAAAATTGGGTGAAATTTAATTCTCGAAAAATCTATTTTTTTCGGCGATTTCTAGAAATCTAAAAATGTTTCAATGAATTCTAAAACTGCTTCGAAGTCTTCGAAAACAGATCCCGAAAAAAATTCGTAAACAAATCTGTCTTGAAAACTGTGTAAATAATTTGTATAAAACATCGTGTAGAGCAAGGGTAAGGGTGTCACAAAATATTATTAAAATTATTATAATATTTTTCACCTGTCTCTCTGTGCCACGTATTCATAGCGTGTGGCGACGCCTCGACGTAACATTGCAGCAGGACGTCGCTATTAATCGGCGCAGCCACTAATTGACTCGTCACCTTAATAAGAGGTTGAACTGCAACAATCGAGAATTACATTATCACAATTAAGGAACTCGGTTAATAACGATAGAGCGATATATAGAATAGTAATTAATGAGAAACAGCGCATACGCACATTAACTCCGTTCGCTTTTTTTAAACCTCGAACAATTCTGCAATGGGAAATATTAGCGTATATACGCTAATATTATAACCGGAAATTTGAAATGAAAGATGAGTACATTTATTTTTCACCTTTTCAATTTTATTCTATATAAATTTTTTATATATCTATTCTATATAATTCTTTTATATATCTATTCTATATAATTCTTTTTTTTTACTTACGCTAGATTTTTCATGAGATTTCAATTTTAGAAATTTCAAAATTATGAAAATTGTCTTAAAGGAATTATTTGGTTGCTTAAAAAAATTGGACGTAATAGCATGAGAATAGCTTGTGCGCTATTTAGAAATGAGCGAAATGAGGTCAGACAGAAGACAAAATAGATGGAATAAAAAATGAAATATAAAAAATGCATTTGGAATCGCAAGGGAGACCACGTGCTGCTCATTCAAGAATTAACCGGTTGCGCCGTACAGTTTGTGCCATGCCGCCACCGCTGGTGGGTTAATATTACATTTCGTAAGCAGCGAATTAATGTGAAACCCTTTGCGCTCAAATATTTACACGACCCGCGACGACGTGGATAAATCGTCAAGCCCGCCAGTTAATTCTGCAGTAGCGCGCGGGCCGGAAGTTTCGCGCGCGAGAAAAACGCCCTGCGCGGACGGACGGGGGGGGGGGGGGGGGTTGGATAAAGTTTTCATTTGCGAATGCCGTTAACCAAATTGCACGGTGATTTTTTAGCCTCCCGATACGCGCGGTGTATAACGTTGCGAACAATGCGCGCATTCCCGGTAATTCTATTGTTTTCTCCCAGAAGAATGCTATTGGCATACTTTTCGCAATAACGTTGTCTTCCAGTGATGGAGCTTCGGCCTGCCTAACATTAAAATGGATAACTGCAACTTATTATGCAACATCTGAACAGAGTACATAAAATGTTATAACAATATAACGGAATAAACACAGTGCGGTGTGTTTTTAAAGAAAACGAAAAATTTTTCAAATTGCGATATCAATGATCGGAATAACTAAAAGAATATCAAGAAAAAAATATACTGTATCATAGAGTTTTTTATGTCGTTCGATAGTAACAATGATGCGCGCGGTGGTTTTAAGGGAAAAGTTTTTAAATAGGAATTCTGCGTTGTAATGTAGATATCGAAAAATGTTTTGAAGTTTAACTCAACCTCATTTCCCATTTAACATCTCTATTGGTGTATAACCACAACGCCCTAGAAGCCGGATGAGTTTTACCACCAATATTGAAGAAGCATTAATAATCGACATGATTCTCACCCTAGTAATTAAAGTACATTATATCAATTTATAAAAGAACTCGATATGAACTGAAATATAAAGGTTACTTTTAAAATTTATGATTATATTAATTCATGATTAATTTAATCATGCAAGGTGTTTTTTCGCAATAAAATAAATTTGTACAAGAAAATTTGATTGTAATCTGAGATTATTATATGAATTTTGAAAATAACTTATATAAATTTCTAATTAGCAAAGTGTGAAAATGTCATTTTATGATCTGCAAATCCTTTCTCTACAAATTTGGGGAATTTCTAAAGATTTTTCCATATAAAGTGCATCACTCTAAGCACATATTGTTTCAGCGACATTGTAATTATTACATACATTATTACATACTATGTTTAATTAAATAATTAATTAACGCTCTCATCTTTATCCGTCCGTCTTGTCACACGTGAAGTTACGTGAAGAACGGCTACAGCAAGTAATTATGCGGTATAACGCACAAGGACGGATCTGGGAAATCCCTCAGTAAATTTTGAAATCAAAATCTAAATTTTCGGGAAAATCACTTATCTTATTATAATTATCATCAATAATTATTTTACACTTTATAAAATAATAATTTGTACTTTTTCTTTTCAAAAATTGTAGCTCTCGTCATTTATTCTGATGAAGCACGTGATTGACGACACCTCCAGCTGTAGCTCGACAATCGTGAAAGCACGGGGTGACAGGATAATGTTCGGGGCGCTCTGCCCCTGCTAATGTATTCAACACGACGAAACGGAGGGGGGAGGGGGTAACGGCTAATTAACGTCCGCATCGCGGCGCGATACGTACAGTGAACATCGACAGAGTAACGCTTGCTGACCGTCGGTGGCACGTTGTTGCTGGCTATGCAGAGATACGTGCCCATTCTCTTGCCGAAGCACCCCCGTCAGTTCCAGCGTCTCGCCGATAAACGTTTTCAGAGCTGCAACCAAAAAATATAAATATTTAGCACTTTCAATAGCGCGTCTATCATCCCTATGCGAAACGACGTCAGGACAAACGAGATGATTAATAAATAGTTAAAGCCTTTTAGGCCTTTTCCCTCTAATCACTGGTTTGTTCTAGTCGGTTAAGAAGATTTACATTTCTGTGTGTATATATTGTACTTTTAAAGATATCAATAATTTTATGTATGGCCGCAATTTATGCAAACGCCGTTCCAATAATTTCGGTATGATAAATAAAAATTCAAATAAAGTTTACTGAGATTTACGTTAAATGTGTATTTGATGCGCGTGGCATCCGTCTACATAAAACTCGCTAGCGCGATTTTCATATGAAAATATATTTTTAACATAAAAGCTTTGGTGAGAACCGTATGAGAGAATCGTTTGAGATATTACATTGAAATTTTACAGCATACTACATATAGGATCATCAGTCCTGTTAAGAGCATTGAAAAAAAATGAGTAAATAATATTGAGAGAGAGAGAAAGAGAGAGAGAGAGAGAGAGAGAGAGAGAGAGATCATAGAA